AATTACTATAACCTATAAAGTTAATGTACACAAGAATAGGTCCACAGGATAATCGTCCTACAATACACTTAAATACCTAAGGGCTAAAGTGTTATTGGCTCACTGTAATCACGTCGCCTCGGCCTGGCGCGGAATGCGAACGCCAACAAACCTATTCCAGATTGTAAATAATTAACATACAGGCCATTTTGTGGCTAATTTACAACCTATTAAGATACTGTAGCTTGCGTTTTATTAAGTTATAAGTAGCGTTGATGAACTTAATTTATGTCTTTCAGGTTTAACTTTGTTCTTTGAGATGCAGTTTTATTACGCACTGTTTTTACTTACTTAGGTACCTAAATGCTTGAACTGACTATGTTTTAAATACAATGATCTTTTATTTATTTAGAAGATACAATAAGATTCACTATTTATGTAAAATAATACTAAACGTGTAATTATAATTATACACACACCGTTTATAATTTGTAGAAGTGTTTTCAGAAAAATATTTGTTTGAATTTAAATAAAATGAAGGTGAAATGCAAATTAGTAACTGATGGTGTATTAAATTACGAGTACAATAAGTATAGTTAATAAGTTCCCAAAAAATCGTGCAGACTCATGTAAGTACACACATAGAAGGAAAACTATACGCTTCGTTTGCACTTTGTAGGAGATTTGTCGGTCAAAATATTTGACTCCAAATTAGACGGAGGCGGAATGTATAAAAACACAACAATACTGTAATAAAATTAAATACAGATTGATGTTTATAGATAAGTTCATAGTACAGACTCTTACATTGTTGTCCAATCCGTAATTAATGTAAATGAATAATACAAAATCGTTTAGATAAATTGTTTTCTTTATAGTATAGGTAATATCTTAAAGAAATCTGTTGTCCCTCACCACATTATACAAAGAAGTAATTCATTCACTATTTTCAATTTGTCTCTACAAATGAAAAGGCAAATACGTAGTATTCTATCAGATCAACGAGCATTGATGTATTTCGGCCTGTTAAATATGAAATGAAATATTATGTTAAATACACCGCGTATCTTACGATCAAAAACACTTTATTTCTACCAGTGGCATGTATGGCATCATATTCCTAACATAATAAAATACTTCGCAATTTAATTATTGTCACTGTTTGTTTATGTTTTTCGCGACATAAAGTGACAAAAGAGCTTTACTACACTTCCCAGGTTCGATCTATCTGTTACTAAAATCAAATGATCTTTGTTTAAAAGGTTAGGGCGTGAAAACATAACAAACTAAACAACCAGATTTACATTCGCGTGTATAATATTTATAGTAGACAATATTGTAATTCTTGGAACATTGTTTATTTACTTCATACTCCTAATTTATTGTCGATATTGAACATTACTTGTCTCCATAGAGTTCAAAGAACTATAATCCCCAGTAAATACATGTTTCTTGGTATTTGTATTGTCATTGTACAATCGTTTGGTAACAGGTAACTAAACAGTCAGTCGTAGTCACATAGCTTTACCTGGAAGCGAGGCTTATCACGCGCGGATATGACTAAGGTAAACCAAGTGACAAGTATAGTTTTTGCCCAAATTAGCCCAGTCCGGCTCTACCAAAGCTCAACTGCGAAACGATGAGTTTAACGGATGCTTGGGTTAATCACGGGTTTTTATAATACGATTGGCTAATTCGTTCTGCGGAAAAAAAAACTGTTTATGCAACTTTGCATTGAATAATAACAGAATTACTCACTGTTATGGACCAATATAGTAAATACAATGCATTTTAGATCCAGTGTGTCTTCGCTTATTATTATTATTACCTACCTGTATACTACAACCCAGTTAAATTTTTATTACATTTGAGCACAATAATACTCGTAATAACGATTATAAATAAATCATAGAGTAGTAATAGCCTATAAAATCTTATCATAAATTGCTCAGAGAAACTTAACTCGGCCAAAAAAAGATAATGTCTTTACAACAGCTCTATCTCAATAATATGAAGTCTCATAAAAATAACTAAAGGTAAATTAAATTAGAGCGCAATTCTCACTATAAATAAACTTTAACGACTGTATTACTTAATGAAGCTTTTGATATTTATGATTGAGATTTTATAATACAAGGTAAAATACCAAACACTTATTTTTTGCCCACAGAAACTTGTTTCAAAATTCAAGTATCGAGATGTTTAATTTAAAATTAACTTTAGCTCGTGTTCGACAGTTAATGAGTTGTAAATAACATTAATTTATCAAGTCATAAACCGGCAAACCAGTTAAGAAAAATGGCGGCCATAACAAACTTTATTTAATGTGTTTATGGCGGTCCCTAATTCACAGTGCCTCTACCATGAGTTTACCTACCGAGCATCTCGCTATCGAGGGCGTAAAAAAATGTATGGCAAATTGTACAGCGCCTCTAGCGGTTAGTAGCTGAACCACAGCAAAACTAAAAACACTACCATGAGTTCATCTCAAATCGTTAGGTAAAAAACCTATCTAAATGAATACGATAGCGACTAAAGTTTTTATTTAGTTTCATACAAATAACTTACCATGAGTTGCAATTTTCAAAGACGTCATCGAAAAATACCTTAGCTGTCACAGTAACGTAACTCACTGGCTTATTGACACGTGAAAAGCAAAATAAAATTGTGGTTTTAGGTCATTTTCGAAGATGTCTAGCTGTGCTGTGAAAATGTGTGCGGGTTTCCACCAAAGCTGTGCGAGGAAAATGTGTCGTACGAGAATGTGTAGCATTTGAAAATGCTCATTAGTGTTGTACAGCCTGAGCCTTTTCTACCAGAGATGTGCTGACCGAGGCGAGGTAAATGAAGCGATTCTATTGGTTCTTTACAAACACATCCTTCGCTACGCATCCTCGCACATCTCTGGTGGAAACGCAGCCTTACGAGATCATGATAGAAAGCTAATCCGACAATGAATATGTATTTTCATAAGTTGAAATTTACTTTTGTTTTTAATCAGTCTGTGTATTATGTATTAGGTTTTGTGAAATAAATAGTCAATAAATATTAATAATTTTATTTTCAACTAGCTTTTGCCCGTGGCTTCGTCCGCGTGAAATTTAGTTTGTCACAGATCGTCATAATTATAGTCTATATGTTAATCTGGGTTATAAACAATAATACTGTAAAGTTTCATCAAAATCCGTTTAGTAGTTTTTGCGTGAAAGAGTAACAAACATCCAGACATCCAAACTTTCGCATTTTTAATATTAAGTAGGATATTAGTATGTAGGTATTAGGTATTGACTTAATTATTATTACTGACGAGATTGCTACCATGTATGTTTAGTGACCATGAAAGATTAAAACAATATAATNCATTACTAAGTTTAAGAGTAATAGTAATTTGACTCATGTATTATACATTTCTTAACCAGTAAAAATTCCTTAGAAGAAAATATGAAAAGTGACTTTAGATGAAGTACCTAATTGCTTGCTTCTGAAATATATTGTGGTAACGACAGACAACTACGGAACCCTACACTGCGCGTGGCACGACACGCACTTGGCCAATTTTTTACGCAATAGTGATGCCGATGACGTTTTTTTTTAATATCGAATTTTCTTAATTTCGACATTTATTCTGCATCTTTAGTGTTCACAAATGCAGATGGAGGCATTTTTAGTTTAATTTGATTAGACGGTTTAGAATAAATTGTCATTATCATCATAAAAAAATCTACTTCAATAACCCAGTTTTCTGGCAATTTTACTCTATTTCTTGCGGGAAAAATTACGTGATATTTTTCGAAACCCCCCCTCTCCCCCACGTGAGATTTAGTGAGGTTTTCGTTGACCCCCTCCCCCCCCTAAAAGTCTCACGTAATTTATGGACGCCCCCTAATGTGTTGTACTGTAAGTACCTACATTTTCTAGTCCTTTTGATTCTTAGGAGACTTTGAGACTTGAAAAGTACTAATTACCTAGAAATTAATTAAACTAGAAAAAAAATCACAGTAAACCCATTTTAGTTATGATGATGCTTATGCCTAAGTTATTTCAAATGCCTAACTACGTGACGTGCCTGAACTGCTAGAGAGCTGCCTGAATCCTGTGATAAGGAATATTGTAGCACAAACATTGTTACAGCGTAACGCCGTAAACCCTCTATAAAATGTTTTAATCTTAAATGTTGTTACTTTATTGATGCAGTTTCTAAAAATTCCTTTTTATTATAAATATAATCTGATTTGACCTTGAAACATAAATAATGTGATGAGGTCTTAGATATAGCACGTGTTCTTAGATTCTGATACAAGTATCCTTAATTTACTTGGTTTTTACGACACCGGCCTATAAAACTCTTCAATGTCGTTAAATTCTCTAACCTTCTCACACAGGAAATAATTACTGCAAATAATTATGCAAATATGTATGATAATTCGGTTTGTCCAACCTTCCAGTATGGCCACTTACTTCTTAACTATGAGGGGACACCTACATGCGTCAACAGAATTTGCATTACTTATGAGTTATGTCATTGTTATCCAAAAGTGCCGGAAAAAAGGCAAGCAAACAAACATTTGAGTATTTATGACATCATTCAGGCGTATTCTCAATCAAATATTTGGTCACATTTTATTTTGGAAGGTCATAGGTAAAATAACTTATTATTGATAGTGCTTACTTGATTTGCATATGTGATCATCAAAGTGCGAATAAATATTACTTATGTAAGTTTTAAAATTATTAATATTGTACAAAATGAAAACATTGCATGAAAAGCCTATCTTATCGAAAGCTTCTGTGGAGCTTTGCGCGGGAAAAGTTTAAATAAGTTAAGCAATTTCCTAGGCTCATAACATTACCTACATATTACTATGTATCACTAAAACATTAACTTTAAAAAATTACTCAAATCCATGTAATTTCGGTTTCGTAAAAGTTTTTCAAAAATCTTCTACAATTACAATAATATGTTACACAACATTATTCCAAATTATAATTGCAAAATATTATGAGAAAAACACTTCACTAACCTCTGAATATGAACTATCAGCCTTCAGGCTGAATGACACTGAAGGATGCACGTGTTTGTTTACTTTAACTTCCAGCCACTGAAACACCTGTTAATCACTAAACTTCGGTCGATAAATTATTAAACTATATGGCACAGTCACACACACTTTAAATCTCGGATACGTCAACTTTTCATTCAGAAAAGCGAGAAAAATGTAACGGAAATAGTTTAGTGACGGAGTGGTAGGCACACGCGGTCACGAGAGAGACAGAAGACTAAACTATGTTATGGCTCGGAAACGCCGCGCGTGCGCTGGAGTGGGGCGAGGATCAACATGGAAAACCGCGTCCACGCAACCTCAGGCGGCGACCAAATTTATTTTATTCAAATTATAACCGACTATGTAACTAAAGTCCATTTCACGTAAGTCTCTAAGTCCTTATCTCAAACTGGTTTGCGTTTAGAAAATAAATTAGTGAAGTGAAGTCATCTCGAGGATCTAACGACGCGCGACGTCCGCTCCTTACGATTTAAATGGATGTTAGAGTTAACGAGTTGTAGGTAAATACTGAATCATCATTAAATATAGACTCGATTTCCTCAATACGCTGAGATTGTAAAGATATATCGTATTGATGTGGAATGTGTCATTGCTACGGCTATGACTTGTAAAGTAGTAGAAATACCTATAATAGCTACAGATGTTTCTGTACGTCATGCACACTATACATAGTCATTACTGCGCGTCGCCGACAATGTCAAGCGAAGAATTAAATTAAATACCTACATAAAGTAATTCCAACTTTATTTACGCTGTACGGAAGCATATTTAAATAGCTAGTTAATATGAGTAATAAACCAAACAGGTAATAAAATAGATAAATTATGAAGTTTCTAAAGTATCAATAGGTAAAATTTCGAAGTTCGTAAATCTGCCTTATTATCCAACGTAGCATTCTCTAAGCGACTATTATTATTTGTTAATTATTAGATATTATTGATTTAACATTGCATATGAATTATGTTTAATAGTGGTAACCCAAAAACTATAGGAAGATAACCAAATCTCATCACAAACCGCATATCAGCCCGACATTATTGATGATCAATCGAATAATACTGAAAACTGAAAATCACTTAAACAAATAAATTGTTTTACATATAAGTTTGTTTGCAATATGTTTTTTACCTCATCTCCTCGCATCTGCACATTTATGAAGTTGCTGAAATATACCTGAGCTTGAAATATCTATCACTGAAGCATGCAGTTTCAAAGAGGCTAATTTCACATTTTACCATACAATAGCCTTTATAAAACTGTTAATGTCTCTTGCATTCCAATAACATTAATGCAGTTCCCTGAGGATAAGCGTATGCAGCGCAAAAACGTTTAGAAGCGAGGTATGTAATCTAGAGCCCCCTCGACAAATCGGTGGGAGGACCGGCTAGACAGGGCTGGCAAAACTTATTTTGATTCAGAAATGAAACTTTATTATGAAACCTCTTGCTGAACCAGAGTTCGATGAGGAATATCTTTGCCGATAAAACATTGTGAGCTGAGAATCTTTCTCTCCGATATGTAATTAAATCTGCATGCCTGTGTTGGCAATTGTAATAAAGCACTAAATATATGTAGGTATACTAAAAAAACACAATTCAAACTTGTAAGTAGTTTTTAAAGTCTAACACAACCAATAAAAATATAAAATTATTGTTGAGGTACAGTTAAGAAGAGGAAAATTCTCATTTTAAAGAGGAAAATTTTCAGACATTATGGCATAGTAATTTCAGTGTTTTAGGTTTATACTTTAAACTACGATCAGTGTGATCAACCCTGGCTACCCATACCCGATCTTGTTTATTATCGCCGGACCCAGATGCATGTCAATGATGCGTAGGCGCAGCAGACACCACCGATGTCATAATCCAGGTGCTGCCAATAAAGTGATCCGCGATACAATCTGCTTTAAGCTACCTCTTTTATCTGACATTTTGTCACATAGGTGCATTAGGTGGGATTCTACAACAAAGTGAAACAAAAAAAGGTACATACCTATATTTCTCAGAAGTCGCACTTGGTTTCAAGCAGCAGTATTTATTTATTATCGAAATTGAACAACGTCTATGATGTACATTACATACAGCATTGGATATGGTATCCTGAAATAAAGTTACATGTACGAGTACGTACTTTAAAGAAGCATTTAGAAAAAATGTTTTCCTATACAGTCCTGTCTTTATCATATTATAAGTGTACGTTAAAAGGAACTGATGGGACTTAATAAATCTTATTATTATGACTCTACCACGAAATATACGTGTAAAAGTGCTTTTAAAGCCTCCTTGCACAAAGAAAATAAGTTTTTTGAGTTTTTATATTTGAAAAGATAACTCTCTGATCTCCCTGAGTCTTACGAGAATTATTGGTTATGTCTTATTTTATCGTGTAATGATCGCGTATGTTAGTCACAACCAAGTGTCAGTCTTTTCGAGACACCAATGGCACCATAGATTAATCCAACCAGTTTTACGAAAAATAAAGAGCATACTTTTTAAATTATTAAATGTCACACAGAAATCAATAGAGCTAGTGTGAATTGGGGTTAATATTAGAAAATTATTATCAATGCACGAATTTATTTATGTAGGCGATCACACCAACGCTCCAAAATACGTGGTGTAGGTAAGGACATTAATAACTCACTATGACGTGGGCGAAACAAGATTGGGCCAAATAATTAACTTAGTATCTATTCAGATTAATTGTAAACTGTTCACAGAATAATGAAGGAAATAACGTCATATCGTATGTACTAAGCCTATGTAGTTGAATAAAATTATTTTCTCCCTAATCAAATCAAATCACTTTTATTTCAATACTAACTTTAATTCAATAGAAAATGGGCGTTTTTCCATTCGCGAATGCAAAAGCGACGAAAGCTCTTGACAAACTAATATATGCAAAATCTGATATTCTAATAAGACAATCATACAAATAAACCTATAGATGTTTTAATTATCATCATTTAATTGTCGTAATGTAGTGTCTAAGTAATCATAATTAAGAAGTAGTAGTAACTATTATAATCTATATTACTTATAATAAATCTGTAGAGAGGTCAATTCTGTACATGAAATATATTTTCAAAATAACTATCAGGGGGTGATTAGTGATCGATACTGATGCCAAAAATGCAATCAGTAAAATTTTTGTCTGTCTGTCTGTCTGTATGTTCCTTATAGAAACAAAAACTACTCGACGGATTTTAACGAAACTTGGTACAATTCTTCTTCATACTCCTAGGCAGGTTATAGGATACTTAGGTATTCCCACGGGAACGGGAATTAGCGGGAAAATCCATTTGTATGAAAAATCCAAACCGCTTAAGTTAGACCCTTGAAATTTGGCATGCAGGTACCTTAGTAAACTTAAAGCTTAGTTGAAACAGGATATTGCAAAATTCCCACGGGAACGGGAGTTACCGGGAAAAAACATTTGTATGAAAAATCTAAACCGCTTACGTTAGACGCTTGAAATTTGGCATGCAGGTACCTTAGTAAACTTGAAGCTTAGTTACAACAGGATATTACAAAATTCCCACGGGAACGGGAGTTAGTGGGAAAAAACATTTGTATGTAAAAATCTAAACCGCGTAAGATAGACTCTTGAAATTTGGCATGCAGGTATCTTAGTAAACTTAAAGCTTAGTTACAACAGGATATTGCAAAATTCCCACGGGATCGGGAGTTAGCGGGAAAAAACATTTGTATGAAAAAATCTAAACCGCGTAAGATAGACGCTTGAAATTTGGCATGCAGGTATCTTAGTAAACTTAAAGCTTAGTTACAACAGGATATTGCAAAATTCCCACGGGAACGGGAGTTAGCGGGAAAAAATAATGTATGAAAAAATCTGAACCGCGTAAGATAGATGAAGGGGGGGTAAAACGAGATCCACGCGTACGAAGTCGCGGGCGGCCGCTAGTTACTAATAAGATTACCTTCAGTTAATATGAGTAAGTCATACCTAATCAGAACAGCATAAAAAGGATGGAAAAATACTCGCTGATTCAAAGTAAACTTTAGTAAATATTTTATGATGACTGATCGTGGAATAAACACAGGATTTGATCTAAAGTGAACCATCGGTCACAACAAAGCCTGACATTACCTGCGGTGGCCGGGAGTCACCAGTGAGTCAGTAAGGCTCCGCGCATACGGCCACCTACCACAGCCACCGGCGACTGGCGACAAGCTGTTAACATGATTTTTAATTTAACGTTTTGTAAGGAAATGTGGCGAGTAGTGTCCACTAGCGACTCAGTGTCCACGACACAAGCCGGTGCCACTTTTGTGGGCACGATGAAAATGCCTACAACTTTATTAGACTGTAACGTCACATTTTCACGGTATATTCAGATCCAAAAACTGGGGTATTCTACTCTTGAGTGATTTTATCGGTTGTATCGGTGTACCGGCGAGGCCATTAAATACAAATCTATCAAAATCTATAAAATTGTAGCGCTCTCCAGCAACCACCATCGTCATCTTTGCACAGTACCAAAGGAAGTGGCGCGTGCGTGACAGCCATCAGTGGCTGTGACCGGGTGATCCGTTTACGCCGAGCCTTACTGCTAGCTATGGTCATTTCGCGGCGTCCTGCCAATCTTGATGATCTGTTGCCAGCGATAAGCATGAGAAAACATTTCATTTGCAATTTAACGATGCGCGTGTACATTTCCATGCTGATGAGAGGATATGATATTTTTAATGAAATGCTGAGCCGAGCCCAAGTAAAATATGTAAACTCTATATTTACTTAAGATTTTTATCTAATTCTTCAACATAGTAAGCAGCCGTAAGTTTCAAAGAAACCATTTTATTTTGCATCGAAGTTAGTACTAAAATGTTGTGTTTTGAACTGCGTGCAAAATAACTATAAATAAAATAAATATTTTATTTATTAGCAAATAAAATCACGAATACTGTAAGGAGGTAGGAACCATGTCTAATAAATAAGTAATGATTACAATGCCAAATACCTCTATCTAATTGCGCATGCTGATGATTCACAATAAAAAACTTAATTTTGGCACACGATCCGAGGTCTACCACCTACTGGGGTGTGGGTGGTATTTTTACACCCACACTGATACTATAGATTGTTTATAACAATATAATTTAACTTTTGAGTCATGCTTTTGGCAAAAAAGACGGGTCAAGTGCGAGTTATATTAATGTTCAGGTGGTTTTGCAAATTATAGTCGTATTACACG